TTTTTTTTATTGGTCTTATGGAGTATTCTAATTTGTTGAGATAGTGAGTTGGTGGGTTTTTGTTAAATGTGAGCCAAAATCATCACAATTAAAAGAACCAAAGACTTCAGTCTGTGTGCATTGAATTTATTTAATACACGAGTTTCACAATTTGAGTTGAATTACTGAAATAAATGAACTTTTCCACGACATTCTAATTTATTGAGATGCACCTGTATTAAAGGACAGCTCTCTATGAGTGTAACATGTCAAGTGTCTTGAGTTAAAGTGTTGCCTGTGTTGTATGATTGTAATGATACAGTATGCCAGAAGGATGAGCAGAAGGATTCAGAGCTGTTATTAATGAAATATAACGGGCTTAATTGTTTATCACACAATTTTCAGGAACAGAGGGCATTAGATGTGTGTTATCTGGGCAATTAGCTAAGGAATAGTAGGTCATCAAGAAGTCATTCGCTTTTAGTGTGAAATCCAAGATGGCGAAGAGTAATTACTTATTACACCAGCAACAGCAATACATCAATATTCCCTACACGTGTTGGAAAGCAACTAAATAAAAGTAATAATCAAATAACTATTTGAACAAGTAAAGTATCTCATAAAATAACTGATTCTCATGTTTGGAAGTTCAAGACATTTTTGTGAACCAGTTTGCGAAGAATTGGCAAATAATTTGTTTTTCAAACAGTTCATGTAAATGCAAATGTAAATGAACCAGCAGCAAAACTTTTCACTGATTCTCTTGAGTACTTGCAAACGGTGGACTGATTCTCAAAATGAACCAGTAGTTTTAAGTTCTTGTGTATGGTGAATTTGTTAAAAGATTGATTCAACAATTCTTTTGAATTTTTGCAAAGTTAACTAGCTAAAAAAAAAGAAAAGCAAGTCCATGTGAGCTGTGAATCGGTAAAAAATAGATTAATAAATTCTTTTGAACTCTTGCGAACAGTTAATTAGTCAAAAAAAGTATTCACTAATTCTTTTGAGTAATTGCGAACGTTGAATTACTTCAAAAAATTATTCTTCGATTCTTCTGAATATACGCAAACAGTTAATTGATTCAAAAACAGCTCACCAATTCTTTTGAGTCCTTTTTGATTCTTTTGAGTTCTTGTAAACAGTTAATTATAGTTGAAAATTATTTACTAATACTTTTGAGTACTTGCGAATGTCAAATCACTTCAAAAAATGATTTATTGATTCTTTGAAACCTTTGCGAACAGTTAATTGCAGAAAAAACACTCAACAATTATTTTGAGTCCTTGCAAACAGTAAATTGGTTAAAAAAAAGAGTAATTCATTCTTTAAAATCCTTGTAAACAGGGAATATTTAAAAATAAAAAAAACCTCTGCAATTCTTTCAACGCTTGCAAATTTAGACATTTCTCAGTTCAAGTTTAATTGAGGATCCACACTATTCTGTGCCAAATAAATAATGCAAAATTAAACATTTTAAAAAGATATTGCAGTCCTAAATTAGTATAGTTAGCTACTTTTGTTAGGAGCTGTACTTTTTTAAGGATAGCACAGCGATTTAAAGGAATAGTTCATCCAAAAAAGAGAATTATGCCAAGAAAGAAAAAAAAACGTTTGCAATAACACGAGGGAGAGAATTTCATTTTTGGGTGAACTAACTATCCCTTTTAACTACTTTAGATTGTAAGTAGCTTGTAAATCTGGCAGCTACAGTTTCTAAGTAGTTCCCTCAAAACCACTCATTACCCTATACTACCAATTCCCCAGCCAATTCTCTACACTAACCCATTCTACTCATTTCCTACAAACTCCCTTTCCCTCAACCCATGCAACCAATGTTATTCCCCTTCCCAACTCAATTAACCATCCTATCCTGCCCATTCCCTACCCAATTAACCAAGACTTACAAACAATATCATTAAAAAAAATCAAAATACTTAAGTTCACATTCATACAGTCTATGCAAGCAATAAGGGTTAACAGGATTGGCTTGATCTCTGCAATTAAGGGGCTCACGCTTGAGACTTGACTC